AGGTTACCAAAGGGGAGGAGTGGGGGAGGTCGGGTGGGGAGGGAGGGAGAAGGGGATTAAGGGGCATTATGATTAGCACACATAATGTAAGGGGGTCACGGGGAAGGCAGTATAGCACAGAGAAGACAAGTAGTGACTCTATAGCATCTTACTACGCTGGTGGACAGTGACTGCAATGGGGTGGGAAGAGACTTGATAATATGGGTGAATTGCTCATGTGAAACCTTCGTAAGATTGTATATCATTGATATCTTAATTTTAAAAATTAAATAAATATAAGTCAGGGAACATGTAAAAAAAATTGCATCAAGAGAAACAAAAAAGAAAATCAAAGCTGAGCAGAATACCCTTTTCATATCTTTTTATAGTTTTGTATCTCCCAGTATTGTTTTACCTACCGTACAGAGAAAAATGTTAGTATTTATGAAGAAAAAAATAAGGCAAACTCACATAGTAACATGTTATCTTCTAATAGAACATGACTGATGGCTTTTCTTTTTCATTATCTAGATAGTCGATATTTCTTATGATGAGCTGTTTCATCCCCATTTTTGGCTTAAAGGCAGAATATTGTGCTCTTCCCATAAAGAACAGATATCATTCAATCAGTGCCTTCTAGTGGACACCTAGGCACTGGAGGTCACTAGGTTCAAAGCTGAGTTGAGTTACTACTTCAAGGCAGTATCCCCATTGAATTAGAATATGGAGTAGTGTATACAGAAACTGTTAAGGGAGTTTTAGCTCAGAAGAAATTTAACTGAGCATTTCTTAATAATTTTAATAAGATAATGTCAAATACCACATGATACAGTAATCAGAGACAAATAGAGTCCATTTGCTCTCAGTAAAGATGTTATCTATCAGGACAGCAAGTCCGTGCCTCACTGGTCTGCCAAGAGAAAGGAAACTCATTTTACCAGCTGTAGATTTGTGTGCTTATTAGATATTCAAAGTGAAATCAAGGATGAATATGTCAGCAGCAGCCTCCAAGTAGCACAACTATAATGACATATGAGCATTATGGATATCTCAATGAATGGATAGGAACAGAAATTATGTAAAGAGTCGAGGAAGAATGCCGCGTGATCCCTCATGCGTAACAGTGTGTGATTCCTATTCTGACCTTACCTTCCTTCTCTAATGACCTGGCTGTTTTATTGTTATTGTTACTCTTTAAGACAATTCTCAGCTACTACATTTGTTAGAAGTATTTGGACAAACTGAAATTTCCTGACTCATTACTCCTTCGTTAATCAGCTGGAATGTTTAGCCAGTTTTCATGGGGTTCTCTGTGTGTGCACTCATTGGAAAAACCTGCTTATCACAGAATAAAATCTTTCTGAATGATTCACGGTATTTATAAGCCTTAGAACCAAGGTAACAGCAATTTGAAGCCACGCTGATATTTGGACAGTTAAGCTCTCAAAACACACATACCTAACAAAAGGAACAGGATTCCAAAAACAAAGACGAAAAAAGGAGCCAAATATATGTGCCAATATAGTTTTTAAAAAGGAGCAATATAGAATGACAAGGTAAAGGAGAGAGGCGCTTGGGGAAGAGAAAGGAGAAGCAAAAGGGAACAAATATATATTGAGTGATTAACACAGGCTTCATGTAAGTTAATGCAAAAGAAGCTAGAGATGGGGAGGGAGAAAAGGAGACAAAGATTTAAAAGGGATTTGTTAGAGATAAAAAATAGAGAGAAGAAAGGAAGAGCTAAAAATATATAATTTTATGCTTGCTATTAATTTATATCTTCTAATTGGGACTCCAGACTAGATTTATGCACTCTAACATTGTTCATACGATTTGTATGTACACATTAGTCAATCATTAATGGAAATTAGACTTCGACAACTTCTAACTGCAACTGAAATTTCCTTGAACCTGTTTAAAATTCAGAATAATACCAAAGAAGGCTAAAAACTTTCTGTACAAGTCTTGTCCTGTATTATGTTGGAGTTTAATATATTACATTCATTTCCACTGTAATGGGAAATTATTAAAAAGGAAATTGTCAGTGAGCCCTGCTTGTGTGAAAAATACATCTCAAAATGAATGCATGAGAAATAGGGATCTTCACCTCAAAACTGAATTATATTGCACGTAGAAGTGGCAAACGAGTCAAGAATTACCCAAAGCTGGGCAAGCCACTGTCCACTGTGTTTCTTAAAGTCTCGCTAACCCGCCTTCCAGAGCAGTAGCAAACTTGGAGACTCTAACACAGCTAAGGCATTTAAATCAAGGCACGTCAGCACAGGTGACCTGGGACAATCATTCTCCCTGTCCTGGGAAACTGAGAAGAGGTACTTGAGCCAAACAGGAGTGGCACAGCCCTAGAGGGAAGATTCTCAGATTTCTCCTTCTTCCCTTCCCCTCAAACCTTTGGATTTACAGCTTTCTTCTCTCCTATCACCTCCTTATCAGTACACTGCTGGCAAACCCCTCCTCCTTGTATGAGGAAGAGCTGGTGCCGAGGTTTGCTGCACCATGACTTAGTTTCACAGGCTGAATGGAGCATGCGGGCATGGCAGTGGCACACTGGAGCGGCCACTAGCCTCGGCGATCAGAGTTGCCGAAACAGCGCTATTTCTTCGCCGCCTCCCCATCTTCCCTGTACCGCCACAGCCGCATATCTGAGCTGTGACTACAACTTGCTGGTTGGTCTCTGTTCCCCCGGCCTTCCTCACACTCCCCAAATCTACCTCCTCTAATATACCCAGAATGCTGGGCGTGTCAGCACCGCTTCTCCGCGGATTCTCTTGCTGGAGATGCTGAGCGCTCCATTGTAAAAGGGGACTGCAGAGACCGCCTGGCCTGCGTGTCGCTCCCGGCCTGCTGGCTGTAACTTGTTATTTTCTTTCCATGAACTTAGGAAAGGCAGTTTAGAACCTCTACTTCATGCCAATATTGGGCGATTTTCCTATAATGTCCGTTCGATAACACCCACTCTCTGTTCAAAACCTTTTGGGGGGCCTCTACTCTCTATGGGATAAAGCTTGCACCCCTCAGTCTGGCATTCAGAACCCCATGACCTGGTCCCGGCCTGTCTTTCCAGTGTATATCCTATAACTACCACTCTCAGCATCACCCAAAGAACGCTATCCACCTTTCCCTGAGCGGGCCCTGTATATAGCTCCTCATTCAGGTCCTCACTGAAGCCAGAAGCCTGGCCTCTCTCATCTGAGATGCGCTACTCTCACCTTCTGCTTCCCAAATCTCACCTGATCTTCACACTGGAGCACAGCTTCCTTCTCCTCCATAAAGACCTCAAAGACAGCTCTAGATAAAAGTATCTCTCCCAGTATTTCTGTACACTGCGTATCATTTACCTCTATCACTCTCAGGGCATTTTTCTTGATACCATCTTGAACTCTCAACTCTTTGTATGTTCCCAAGTAGATGAGGAATTCCTGGAGGGCAGGAATGGAAGTTTGACCCTTCTGTCTCTCTGTACATCATAGTGCTTAGGACAGTGCTGAATACAGAGCAGTGACTCTGTGATTGACTGTAGAATCAATAAGCTCTTTCCTCGGCTCATTCTGCAAGACAGCCATATTTTACTCCAGACAGACTGGTCCCCAAATCTTTGGTCATAAATCATAAATACCTTGCTGGGGGTCAAGAGGCACTCAGAGGAAAGCACACCTAAGACTGAGCGTTTACAGTTGTGATTTGTAAATCATGATTTCCTTCCCCAGCAGAGGCCTGTTTTAGAGATATACCCTCGGCAGGAAATAGTCACATTCTTATAACTAAAAATAAACATAAGTCATAAATTGTTCTATGTAAGTCCTCATATAAATACCACAGAAGACACAGTATTAAAAAAGAGAGCACAAAACATTGCTTTAAATTTCAAAGACATACTCAAGCTATAATTCTAGAGCAAAAATACAAGTTAGTCACAACGTTCAAAGACCTGACTTATACTTAATTATAAAATACATTTTTTTACCTTTTAATATGTGACACTTCAAACTTAAAGTACATATTTATCATTTATGATTATCTACATATTATTTTCAAGTACAAATTATACTGGAAACTTTAGTGTGGTGAGAATTATCCTTAACCATGCTTTTTAAGTCCTAGAAAGCATTTTGCCCTCTAAAAAAGTCCTAATTCTAACTTACCTATACAACTATTTTCAAATTCTTCTTTCTTACCTAGGGCAAAAAAATCAATTCCAACTTGCTTTATTTCACATTGTCATAAATTTAAAATTATAGGCATTGGGAATAATTTGGTTTACTGACTATGCCCTGTGTCAAAAACACTCATACTGTTTGAACTCAGATGATGGCTAAAAGCTACTGACCTGAGTCATCTTGTGATTACAGGAAAACTACTTGTCTTTGTGAATCATGGCAGTTTCCACCCTCAGAGAGCGACAGATCTTTCTCATGACTTTCTCCGTGTATAATGTAATTGAAGAATAATAGGAGTGAACTCAACCAGTGGAGTCCTTCACAGGATGAGCCACTTTATGTGAGTCTCTGAAGGGAACACAGGCCCTATTAGGCAAAACACAGACACTGAATGTCATTTTACATCATAAAAACACTGAAGCAGTTACAGCCCAAGCTGACCTCTTGACCTATGCATAAATCACCCAGAAGAGAAGGGAGAAGAGCTGTTAATATGTGGAGTATGTTGGAACTATAAAAAGTGGTTTCTGAATTAATTTCTATGCTTTCTGGAAAACATACAGTACTTTCACCCCAAATTAATGATTTCATCTTGTTCCTGGAAAAATTACAAGCATTGAGAGGCAACTCTAGATCCAGTAGCTTAATTAAATGTAACTATTTAAGAATATTACTAAGTTGTATGCAGTCATTCCAGTATAATTTAACAGCACGATATGTGTTCATATTATCAGCTACTTCCATGTCACTTTGACAAGCACTCCTACTTATTGTTCATTGTTCACATGTGGCTTTTTCTTTTCTCAAAATAGAGCAGGTCTATCATGAAACCCATTAAGACACTTAGTTTAAAAAAAAAGGGGGGGGGACCTGATATGCCATACTGCACATTGTAATGTAGAGGTCTTGGGGTTATGTGGTCTAGAGAGATGCCTAGTGTGGTAGGGAAAGCCAATCCTTTAATATCTGTGAGCCTGATTTCTTACCTGTCAGTGAGTCAGGGGGGGCCTCTGTCTAGATGACAGTTCTCATCCATCTCCCCTAATCTTCACAGCCTTTGTGCGCACACCTCCCTGGCACAAACTGTACCTCTTATTACAGACAGTGATTCTCAGGATGGTAGGTGGGATGCCTGTGCCCCACCCCACCCTGATCATGGTCCCTCTGTAAGAATTGTGGACCTGGGTGTGCTTTGCAAAGCTGCTCTCTGGTCTTCCAAATATGCACATACATTTGGCCCCACTCCTTTCCCAATTATATGCAGGCCTGAGAGCCACGCAGGTTGGCTGTTCAGGAAGAACATGTAAGACGGGTCTTGAAAGAGCTATCAGTCAAAGGATCTTATCTTCCCTCATGCAGTTTTAGAACCTGCCTAAATCATAAAGGAGAAAGCATTTGTTTACTGAGCCGCCGTTGCTAGTCCAGAAGCTGAACACTGTCCCCCTGGGCTCACCCCTGTATCCACGCCCTGGCCTAGGCGGCCGCTGTCAGAAGCCAGCATGTCTAGCTGTGCACCTTCCCACAGGCACCAGTGCCTAAAGGACTGAGCACACTCAGATATGCCACTGAAGATGCGTCAGTAAGGTAGCTAATGAGAAGAACTTGAGGTGGTGCGGAAGGCGAACTGGTGGGTGCTGGGGTGGCAAAGCTTTCTCCTCTGTGTCCAAATCATACCCCCAAAATACCCCGACATGTAATTGACTTTCCTTGAGTTTATTAAATTCTGGTCCACATTTACCTGTGTCCAAAATCTATGAATCATATTCTCTTCTCCATGAAGTCACTGGGCAAAGACAAAATACAATAGTACCTATCTTTAAAAAAGCTGAATTCAGAAGAATCTTTTATACATAAGCCATGGATCTCTGGAGTATTTAGTTTAAAAAAAATGCATTTCATCTCCTTTTCTCTTTGAATAAATGGGAAGCCATCTTCTAGGGCAAAGGTTTATAACTTAAATTTTCTGAAATTTTGAGGTTAGCCATGTATGTGTATTTTCTTGGGAATGGGGGGGACACACCTCAAAATATGACTCAAGCAAAGTCCATTTTGGGGAAAAAATCTGTATTAAATTAAAAATACACATTCATTCATTCAACAAATATTAATTAAGCCTCTTGTACACATAAGACCCTAGGGTGGAGTTAAAAATCCACAGCATGCCAAAAAATTCTGTGTAAGTAAATCCTCTCCCCAGTATGCAAGCCCTTCTACGTATGTGGGTGTTAGCCTAAGGGTCACAAATGCAGATTTCATATTATCCAGGCTTAAAAAGGAATGAAATTCTGATGCATACTACAATTGGATGAACTTTGAAAACATGCTAAGTGAAAGGAGCAAAGACACAAAAGGACAAATATTATACAATCCACCTATATGAGGTTCCCACAGCAGCCAGATTTATAGAGACAGAGTGGAATGGTGGCTGCCAGGGGCTGGGGGAGGGGAAAGGTGGAGTTGCTGATCAGTGGATGCAGTTTCAGCTTAGGAAGATGAAGAGAATTCTGGAAATTGGTTGCACAGCAATATCAATGTCCTGAATGTACCCGAACTGTACACTTAGAAAGTGCTTAAAATGGTAAATTTCATGTTATATATTTTTTAATAAGGTTTAAAAAAAAACAGATTTCAGCCACTTCTTCTGCACGTCCTGCCAGGGTGCTCTAGCGAGGAGTTTCAGAACATGCAAGTGGTTGCCAGCTAATGTCCGTGGCATTGCCTGTTGTTAAGTGTGGTCCCTCCACCCCCTTCTCCACGTTGCTGTGTGTGGTCAGATTGGGGACTCTGCAAAAAACATTTCTTCTCTCAAGAGGCTCTGAGGACAGGGCACACCGAAGGCAGCCTGGAAGGGCAGAGGAGGAAGAAGGGCCTGCCCTGTTCTGGTGGCTTCCTGTTCCTGCCACTGTTACCCAGCAGCAGCCCTTCGCCCTGCAGTTGTTTCTGGCTAGCCCCCAGGTGTTCCCCACTCCCCCAGAACCAGGCCTCTGCATGCCCTACCAGATACCCACACAAGCCAAGCAATACCCCTGTCAAGGGGTCTGTGTCCCAACGGCTTGGGGCCCCTGGTCTGAGAGATCGAGGTATCAGCAGTAGCTGGCAGCTCCCCTTTCTCGAGGTCTTGGTCCCAACCCCATGAGCCCCCTCTGAGATCCTGAGGTCTAGGTCCCAGGTCAGGGGGCCTTGCTGCAAGCTTCCTGGGTCCTGTAAGCCCAGTCTCTTCTCTCTGTTCCCCCAAAGGTGGCAGTTGCAGCTGCTTTTGCTGTCCTACCTTATTTGTCCGCTCTGCATTTTCAAACCTCTGACACCTGTTTAACCAAGTCCTCATATTAACTTCTCTCTGTTAACATAACTGGTGTGGTTTCCATACTGCTTTCCATTGCGGCTAACCAGTTTACACCCTCCCCAGCAGTGTACAGGGGTTCCCTTTTCTCCATATCCTCACCAACACTTGTTATTTATTGCTTTGTTATTTGCCATTCTGACTGATATGAGATAGTATCTCACTGTGGTTTTGATTTGCATTTCCCTGAGGATAAGTGAGGTCCAGCATCTTGACACATGTCTTTTGGCCATCTGCCTTCTTTGGAAAAATGTCTGCTCAGGTCCTCTGTCCATTTTTTAATAAGATGATTTGGGGTTTCCTGGTGTTGAGATGTATGAGTTCTTTATATATCTTGGATCTTAGCCCCTCATCAGATATATCATTTGCAAATATCTTCTCCCATTCAGTAAGTTGCCTTTTTGTTATGTTGCTGGTTTCCTTCACTGTGAAAAAGCTTTTTAGTTTGATATAGTCCCACTTATTTATTTTTGCTTTTGTTTCTCTTGCCTGAAAAGACAGATCCAGAAAAATATTGCTGAGACTGACATCCAAGAGCTTACTGTCTGTTTTCTTTTAGTTTTATGGTTTCAGGTCTTACTCTAGGTCTTTAATTCATTTCAAGTTAATTTTTGCATATGGTGTAAGGTACAGTCCAGTTCAATCTTTTGCATGCTGTGTCCAGTTTTCCTGACACCATTTATTAAAGAGACTGTCCTTTCCCCACTGCAGATTCTTGCCTCCTGTGTTGTAGCTTTAATAGATCATATAAGTATGGGTTTATTTCTGGCCTCTCAATTCTACTTCATTGTTCTGTGTGTCTATTTGGGCCAGTACCATACTGCTTTGATTACTGTAGCTTTGTAGTATATATTACAGTTTGAAATCTGCAGTTGTGCTACCTCCAGTTTTGTTCATCTTTCTCAAGATTGCTTTGGCTATTTGGGGTCATTTGTGGTTCCATACAGATTTGAAGACTATTTGTTCTAGTTCTGTAGAAATACCACATACTTTTTTATGTTTTCCTATATAGTCTATAAATAGCACACTTTTGTATTGATGACATAAGGGCTAATCATGACAAAGCAGGATCGAGCAGCCATGCTCTCCAGGCCATGACGGTGTCTACATCACACTACGCAGCACTACATTGAGTATTTCTTAACCACTTCTCTGCCCTACCCTGCCGTCAGTAGTCACTCTCCGTTTGTCTCCAGAAATCTCTTGCTAATTTGCTGCTCGTAGTCGGCTTTGGGCATAAAAGAAATTAAACAACTAAATCAGTTGGAATCCTACCTATATGAAGAAAATGACTTTTGGATCATCAGAGAGGTCAGCTTTGGATAAGCCAGCTTGGTTGACAGCTGTAGCGACCTCTTCTAAGCCTTCTTGGTCCTGACTTGCCATCAGTGTGCCGGAGAAAGCTCGCTGCAGCTGTGGCCTCCTGCTGAGTCTTAGGCACTGGCCTTCTCATTGCCAGCCTCTTGCTTTTTAACCAGAGCTCCCTGACACCAGCTCCTTGTAGGGCTGGTTCTGTTTCATAGATGCCAAACCCCTAATAACTCAGATCTAATAGTTTCCTCCATTGTCTGCAGCAAACCCACACCTGCTTCCTACCTACAGAAACCAATGCAGTGGTAGGGTTTGAATATTCACATCACGCACAGAGGCTTTCAATTCTAGGTAAGCGCCACGATTAGGAAAGCTGCACAGAAGTAGGAAATACTCCCCTGGAAAGAATGGTCTAATTTGCAGGCAGCTTGCATTGTATTTCCTGAGAATATGTTTGACATTTAAGCTTTGCTGTGGCAGTAAATTGTACTTCTCCTAGCAGCAGGAGTTATTAAGTCAGTGCCCAGAATAAACCAGACTGTTTTGGAAAGTTTAATTTTTTCGGTTTTCATACTCCCTGTTATAACTGTTTGTTTCTTCAGAGATGAGCCTCTAAGGATGCAGAGTCTATTATTTCTAATTTAAAACTGAAAACACCATTTATTAACCTTCACAGGTTTCCATCGTAATCTACTTAAGAAAAAACTAAATTAAA